GACTCCTTAGTTGTTGCAGCATTTGCACTATTCTGTGCAGTGTGAAAGTTGTTAGAGTTTGGATGACTTCGTCCTCCTGCAAAGCGCCCACGTCCTCGCCCCCTGCCACCTCCACGATTGGGATAGCCAAAAGTTTGCCAACATTTAGATGATTCATGGTTAGTCTTTCCACAATGGCGGCAAGGTACACGCTCAGCGAACTTCTCCATCCCTGTAGGTGCTACAGTTTGTGCAGCACAACCTATGACATCAGCTCTTTCATTTTGTGTACGAATTATGGAACGATGTGTTTCCTCCTGTGTGACAATGGCATAAATCTTGTTCAGTGATGGGAGTGGTGTGGTATTCAATATCTGTGTGCGTAGGTGCCCGAATGTGGCTTCATCGAGTCCCATAAGAAACTGGTATACTCTATCGTTTTCCTTCTCTTCCTCTACTTCTTTTGCATATGCGCATGTATCTCCACAAGTACAAGACTTGTACACTTTACTCCCTTCAAGCTCGTCCCATACGGCTCGCATTTTTGTGTAATACGCTCCCACACTGCTACCTTGTTGTTTAATTGCAGACAAACTTGCTTTAAGCTGATATACTCTTGGAGCATTTGCAACTGAGTAACGCTCTTTTAAGTCGTCCCAGAGGTCCTTGACATTATCAAAACACTTGATGAATGGCTGGAGCGTAGGATCAATAGTGTTGTGTATCCAACCATTAATCATTGAGTTACACATCTCCCATGCATTCCACTCTTCAGTGTCATTCTTTTTTGGCGTCTTCACAGACCCTGTAATGAACCCCAATTTGTTTTTGGCCTTGAGTGCGTTTTTCATGAGCTTAGCCCAATTCTCGTAATTGGCTTCACCTTTTAGCATCACTGTTGTCAATAAAATCCCGGGATTATCAGACCCTCCCAGATAGAAAGGAGAGCCATGATCCGAGATTATTTTTGTTTTGCTACTTCCCTCCTTAGCCATTCTCAACTGACCAAGCTTTCGCACTTGACGTAAGGCACTCACTCAGAGTTTCAATTTTGCGGAAGTGTTTAACAGAGATCGTGCTCTGATACCATAATAATTTGGTATCGAACTAACTTTCATTTGAATCAATTGAGTTGCCTTTATAGGCATTACAATAGCTGTTATACATTTGAATACAAACTTATCTACAACTATACTATCTTATCTTTTACTTAAGAAACTCATCAGAGAAAACAAACTAAACAAATAAAATATTCTGCAACAGCTAACAACTACTAAATATCTAACGGCTAGATGACTGTTACAAACAGCCTACTAATTGCAATAGTTAAGCTAACGACTTGATGACTTTGATGACTGTTACAATCCTTGCTAACAGCTTGAGCCTACTAGTCCAATATCCTTGCTAACATTGTTTTTGCAGCTGCTTTCAAGTGCACAGAGGACTAATGTTCTTACATTGAATTTGTAAAGCAGCCTTCCTTGAAGCACAAGGGCAATTGACCAATTCCAAACTTTGAAGTTGCAAAAACCAAGCATTTTGACCATTTGACTATCTTTCTCTGTTTTTTAATTTTACCAGCCTTTCATTTTTGACCCTTACTTTATACAAACATTTATAGATCCTTCCTATAGCTTATCACGTTAGCTTAGAATCCTTACCACAATTTAAATTTCGATAGCATTTTAAATTTTATTAATTATCCCTAAAAAGCCAACTAAATTTAATAATAACTGGAACTCATAATACGAACCAGCCTGTAATCCATCTTTAACCCAACAAAAATTGGAATGGGGCGAGTTGATCCAATTTGCAAATGGTTTGAAAATATAAATCTATCTCCTTTTATGGTGCATTGCAAGTCAAGTCACCTAAATAATAAAATAAATAAATATTGAACTTGAATATTAAATAAGGATTCAATTTTTAGGACTGAGATTATTTTCATCAAATTAGCATAGTTCAAAAAAATTCAAACTACTTAACACATAAAAATGAAAGTACTTAAATATCAATTATGTACTTATCATGATAAAAAAAAAAAAAAAGCCAAACAATCAAACATTTCACCACAAAAAAAAAGGCTTTTCATCTATCATTTAACATGAGGTTAGATTATCTCCTACACACACATAATTTTAATAGATCCCACCATAAACAAGAAATAAAAAATAAAAAAATATTACACGCAAAACGAACTCTTACAGAAAACAACTCTCCTGTTAAAAGAGAAACTGTTTTCCGCAAAAAAAAAAAAAACATATATCATCATTCACATAGGATAATTCAATTTATCAAAAGAGAGAATCAACAGTCATTCTGAAATAACTCGAAAATATTTTAATTAAAACTTAAAAATCACATACTTTTGCTTGTCACTTACTAGTTACTTTATTATCGGTGCCTTTGCTAGGCTGTGACAGTCACACTCGTAGGTGGGAGCGGGAGAGATTAATGGAGGGTAGCGAAAGACATAATGATTAAAAAATTTAGAATTTAGGTGTGAAAAATGAGGAAAAATAGGATCTAATACAAAGAATATTTAAAAAAAAAAAACAAATAATGTAACTAAATGAATCAACCCATCCCATCATGCACTCGATCCATTTTAGTTCATACTTATAAAGGGGTTTAGGTAGGTTAATTTTTACATCCCAAGTCCCAACTGGTCAAATTTGACGGATTAATTGAACCAAACTGTTACATAAGATTAATTTTAGCAACTCTACACATAATTAGATACAATATATTATGTAAACCATATACTATATTACGGTAAAATATATGTATTTTTTTTTCTCAAATTGAATTATATTAATCTTGTTAAGAGAAGATAAATAATTTCAATAAAAGTTCGATAAATGGGAGAATTTTTAATATACTCTCTTAGTATTATTTCTGACAATTTTACAACATTTTACATTCAATTAAATTATATATATATATATATATATATATATATATATATATATATATATATATATATTTCTGCAGCTGCTGTGTACGTGCAACAATCCAATAGTTGCCACATATATATTTGAAATCATTAAAGGCGGAAAATCATAACCATACAAAGGATGAAAACATTAAATGTGGGGAATCATAATCATACACCTGTCGTTGTTGTATGTAAAGCGGCTGCAGATATGATTTTACCACATATATATATAAAAAAAAAATCTACAGTTAATGTAGATAAATTATCTGTTTTTACTTCCAAAACGACGTTGTTTTGGGATTGAAAGATTAAAAAATTATAATTATAATGACTATAATAACCATGAAATAAATTAAAATTACAAAAACACCATGATTTTCGTCAAAAAACGACGTCGTATTGGGATTACTGCAGAAAAAGCGAATCCTATATATATATATATAAATATAATCATTTTATACTTATACTTTCAATTTTGATAGTTAATCTTATTTATATCTAACGATTCAGATTTATTAAATATTTGAATACTTAAATGCAAGCAAATCAATGATTAAGATTTAATGTAAATTTTTTTATTTTTATATTGGTGCAAGAATATCTTGCCCTATATATATGAAAAGAATTTCAATGTATCGCTGTTCCTTTTTATTAAAAAAATATGAATTAAAACAAAGGGAAATTGTTTTCTTATGTGACATAGGATAAAATTTATCTCCTATAGACACATATAGAGGAAAGAGGAAAGAGAATATAGGAGATAAAAAAATATAAATGGGTCCCATCTCTTTATATGTGAGTGTATGGGAGAAATTTTACCTTATGTTACATAAGAAAAACAATTCCCTAAAAGAAAATATAGAAAAATTGTTTTCTCCAACTATAGGAGATAACAATCACATGTTACATAGACATAAAAAGACGTGCCTGCAATTTCTTTCTTTTTTATTTTTCTTTAATTTATGGACTCCACATTTCTTATTAATGTAAGAAAAAAAACTTCTCTCATATTAAATGAGAGAAGTATTGCTCAAAAATATATATATAAAAAGGGGAAAAAAATATTCCAGCACCCAATTTGGTCGTCTCGTGCATCGATCCTATATATATATATATATATATATATCAGGCATTTATATTTACAAACTTTTTTGTTTACAAACTACACTAAGAACGACTGGTCATACTTTAATCATGCAGTGTACGACCGGTCGTACTTAATGTAATTTGCAAAAAAATTTTGTAAACGGATCCTATCTCTATATATATAGGTAAAATCATTTCTGCAGCCGCTTTACGTACAACAACGACAGGTATATGGTTATGATTCCCCACATTTAATACTTTCATCTTTTGTATGGTTATGATTCCCCACATTTAATACTTTCACCTGTATATATGACAAGTATTTGATTGCTGCACTTACAGCAGTAGAGGTGGCAATATGAGTTGCGTCCGGCAGGTCAACCTGCCAACCCTCCAAAACGGGGCGGGTTGGGTTGAGGTTTTCAACCCACCAACCCACTTCAACCCGCCTAGAAGTGGGTCAAAACGGGTTCAACTCGCAGGGTTATAATTTTTTTTTTTACAATATGTAGTATTTCATTTGCCATTAAATTTTTATGATATCCAATTTTTTTTTTATCTTAGTACTTCATAAAAAAATATAAAATAACAATTTTATTTATGACAAATGTTATCTATATATGGAGACAAATGAGTTCCTAAAGAACGTTTGACAAATATTACTATACATTTAAGATTGGGACTGAAAAAAATTAAGAGAAGTATGAAATAAAATAAAATAATATTAAAAAAATTCATAAAATATAATTTATTTTTAAATTTTAATTAATTTTTTTAATTGACGGGTTGACCTGTCAATCCGCCAACCCACCATAAAACAGAATGAGTTCATTTTTTTAACTCATATTTAATGGCGGGCCAACCCGTCCCGGCTCCATTTTTTACGAGTCGGTAGCAGGTCGGGCGGGGCAACCCAAATTACCACCACTGTACAGCAGCTGATATATATATATATATATATATATATATATATATATATATTAGTAGTCTCGTACCAACCCCTTCAACGCAGACGCGGTGGCAACTAAACCCAGATCCCAATTTCCTCGACTCCGCCATGGCTCCGCCGTCCGATCCTTTCAGCCAGTAAGTCCTGTCGTCGGACATAGTAATAGTCTTATATTAATTTTTATCTTCAAGTTCATTCATCTCCTTATTCATTTTTAACGTTTTTTTCCTTTAACTTCAACAGAGAAGCTGTTGTAAGAAAGAAGAACAACGGACCCCCTGTTAAGTTCCTTCTTCCTCTCATATACGCCCCTGTACTCCCTCTAAGTATGTCACTTTTCTCGTTCCCTTCAATTCACCCCCCCCCCCCCCTCTTTTACCTTTTTCTCTCTTTCAAATTCAAATAGTTTATTTATTTATTTATTTTTCTTTTCAGTTCGTATATCGCTGCGGCATAAACCTGTCTTGAGAGATCGTTTGTTCGCTGCTGTGTTGGCTGGGGCCTTTGTTCACGGTTTCTATCTGGTGTATCCTTTTGTTGACATTCTTTGTGATCCTGCTACAATGGTATGGCTGTATATAAATTTTTGTGTATACTTTATTGCTTTAGAAAATGCATCATAATTTTTGTGTAAATTAGTTTTGATCATTGCATACTTGAAAATCTCAATACAAGTTAAGGAAATGATATTTGGAGTTTTGTGGTGGATTGCAAATTGCTTTTGAAGATTCCAAAATGATTTTGGGATGTATAATATTTTTAGATGATATGTCCTGTTTGATAGTGCAAAATTGTTAATGCTGCCAATTGAGTTACTTACCCTGATGTTCAGCATTTTGGGATTTTATTGTGCCTGCTTTTTGTTTATTAAGTGAACTTGTTATTTCTTCTTTGAGGTTGCTGGAGGTTGGATTCACTGTGATAGATAGTACCTTCTTCTAAATATTTAGTGCCTTGTAAGTTGTAATACGTATTGGCTTTGTCTTTATTGGTTTGTGTGAGAAGACAAGGAAAGGGGGAATAACATGATTGGGGTCTGAGCTTCGTTTTATTTTGACATAATGTCAACACTTGGCACCAAATATAAAATTTCCCTTTCCTCAATGTTTTTGAATTTTGAGACACTTAACTTTTGGGGCGTGAGAAGCTTTTCTTATGCTAAACTGGATTCACCCTATTGAAGAAAGCACAATCTGAGACCAAATTTGGTTGTTAAGAAGCTCAGAATCACAATTTATATATCTTTCCTTGATTTCCTTCATAAAATTATTTTGATATGTTGACTAGATGCAACTGATGATGAGTGATTTTTGTTGATTGCGAGGACAACAGTTTCCTATATAGATAAATCTTCATTTTGATTTTAACCTTATGATTAAAGGAAGTAATGGAAAGCTTGAGATTAGTATTGGTGTTGACGATTTTGATTATTAGGGCCTCCAACTAGCGCATTAGAACTGTAAAAAGGGTGGCCCCCATGAGAGAAAAATAAAATGCTAGCTTGGCATTTTCACTTTGATGCATCATATATATATATATATATATATATATATATATATATATATATATATATACTTGAAGTCAAAATCAATATATTTTCATTATTTAGTTGGAGCCTGTTTGGATCTCTCTTTTTTAAGCTAGAAGTTACTTTTAAGTTAAAGCTAAAGAAAAGAACTTAAATAAAAAAACTAAAAGCTGTTTGGTGATTACGTAAAAAATTTAGTTTAAAAACACACATTTCAATAAAAGCCTATCTCTATATCTATATAACTCTTCATTTCAAAAAAAGTATACAATTCAAGAAAAGCTGATAAGAGTTTAAAAAAAAGCTCCTCCCAGGAGCTTTTGGCTTTTTTATTCATTAGGAAAAAAAGAGCTCTTTTTCAAAACTTGTTTGGCCTAGCTTGTACTTATAAGGAAAAGTGAAACTAAAAATAAGAGGATCAAAATAGGCACTTAAATAGAAGTAGTTGAAGTTCAGGATCAGTTTGTAAATGTAGAATTTATTAGAGCCACAGACTATTATGAAGTAATGACGGTAAAAAGGACTTGTGCAAGCTAGAGACATACATAAAGATGCTATTTCTATGTTAATTTTAAAAGATATTATTTCTTAAGTAACTAATAAATGGTAATATCTTTGGGTGGAAGGTATTTTGTTCTCCACTTACATGTTACATGTGTTTTCAAATTTCTTAGCTATATTTCCTTTCTGAATTGTATAACTATTGAATTGTTTATTAATTACATTAATTGGAAGCTAACGTAAATTGCTAGTTGTTGTAATAGAATTTTCACATTGAACTTGGTCAAAATTCAAGAATCCAACTAGGACTGTACTCTGTTACTTTTTATATTTTCTTATCATGTTCTTCCCTAATGGCTATATCCAGAACAGATCTGTATGATATTGAAAGCAAGTGATTATGCAGAGCATGTTTGAGATGTTTGATCAGTTTCATTTACATCACAACCTCAGGTCCTCAATAAATTTTTTGACCACAATTTGCTGCTCGACATCGTGGTAACACCTGAGATAGCATAGGTCTATTTTGATCATGTATGAATATTTTTTCTATTGTTTTGGAAGATTATTGTGCTGTATGATCTTTGAGAGTTGCATGTTGTGTTTGCGGCGTTAGCTTTGAGTGGAATAACTATGGAATTCGGAAGCTGTTCTTTGATCTCCAATTGTTATAATGCCAGAAATCCTATTTTTAACACCTGTTCTAAATGCTACTTGCTCGGGTAACTCTTATCAGTTTCATGTTGACTTGTATAATTAGATGGTATAAGTGGATTGAGGGCATCCTTATGCATATGCTTTATCACCAAGTATCATCTGATCCATATTTTATTCATGAACGGAGGCGGAGAAAAGATGGAACAGATGAATTTATTTGTAGTTAGAGCTGATCTATACCTTCAATAAATCAAAGAAAAAATAGATTTGATGCTGGATTAGATGTCTTGTGTCTTCATTTTGCGTGATGAAGAAATGAATAGCATGCTGCTATCTATGAAACCTGTTTGGTTGATTTTTTTTTGTTGGAAATATTTAAATTGGTTCATCGCTTCACGACTAGTCTGATTCGGGGCTGATTCCGAGATTAAGACTTTAAATTCATCCCAAAAATAGTACTGGAGAGGAATGAATACATACTTTTACTCTCACTGCTCAGTTTCTTGGCGCCAAATGAGCTACCATCATGGTTTGTTTAGTTGAATATAGTAAGTTTGACATCTCGAGTACCACCTTTGGGAGGGGTTTAAAGTCTTAATCCTGGACCCGCCCGAATTGGATTAGTTGCGAAGCAATGAACCGATTGGAATATTTCAAAAAAAAAATAGTAAGTTTGACATACATTTGCCTTGTGTTTCATTTATGGGTTTAACTTTTCTTATGTTGTAGGATTGTAGGAGAGAAAAAAAGTAAAGAGAAGTTAAATGTGGGTCCCATATTTTATATTAAAAAAGAAAAGAAAAATTATTTGGCACGGAAAACGAATTTGGGTAGGAAAATGAGAGTATCTCATGTGGCATGAGAGTAGGGGTGTAAATGGGCTGGGCTGGGCTGGGCTTTGGCCATTCTGGCCCAAGCCTACGTCAAAAAAAAGTCAGCCTATCTGGCATATTGGCCTATTAAAGGCTTTATTTGTAGGCCAAACCCGGCCCATTTTCAAAAATAAGAAAGCCTGACATGGCCTACAGGCCTTGTAGGCCTCCCACTATATATACTAAACAAAAAAAATAAATGTATAGAGCAAAGAAAGTTCCATTCATGCATACACTAGTACTTCTCATAAGAAAAAAATGACAAACAAGAAAGAGTCAACATAATACCTCAGCTCTAGAATGTATATCATAGAGGAATAGAGTCGAAGAAATGGGAAAAATAAGAAAAATACAATTACTGGATGCTGAAATAAAGTCTACAAGAGAATGTCATTCATCTAAAAATCTTTAAACCACCATCAAGACAAGGGAAAGAAGATTATTATTGAAAGATCTTCATCAGTAACATCATAATACAGCAAGGTACCCATTGTTCCATGGTATTAAGCTGCAACAGCATGTAAAATTTGGAGACATTATACAAGTTTTTCTTTCACAAAATAAAATAGCACAAAAAGTAAGAGATTTTGGTATTTGGTACTTTGTGTCTTTGCCACATAAAATAATAAAAATATATATTTTATTTTAATAAATTAAATAGGCCAGCCTACAAGGCTGTAGGCCGGGCTTGACAAAATTGGCTTATGGCCTATTTATTAAAAAAGCTTTTTTATAAGCCTAAGCCTACTCTACTTTCCTGAAAGGCTAGGCCTGAGCTGGGCTCAATGTAGGTCGAGCCGTAGGCTGGGCTGGGCCAGCCTGGCCCATTTACACCCCTACATGAGAGTATTATTTCCCTTCATTTATATGCAAGTTACCTTCGGTCTTTAGCAGTTCAGTGTCCATTTTCCAATTCACCGTAAACTACTCCATCATTTTTAATAAAACAGATTACAAAATAAAAATAAAAAATGCCCCTCCTACGGGGAATCAAGCACACTGGTACGAATGGATAGAGAAGTTTGAAAGGGAAGGGAGAGGAAGTTTTTCATTTTAAGTGAACATTCTCTTTATTTATTTATTTTTTAATGGGAGGTATAACATTTTAATTGTTCCTAATTTCTTTTTAAAATTATAATTTTTAAAAATTAAAAGTGAAGAGTTAACTCTTTCTTTTCCTTTTGAACTTCTCCATCCAAAACATACCATAGAGTGGTTGCTGGGCCTTCAAACAATTGTTCTGCTGGTGTTCAAATTTTTCCCATTAAAGACTCGTCCATCTACGTTACCATGAGCTCGTTTGGATGAGCTTTTTTTTCTTCAGAACTTGCTTTTTTTGTGAAAAGAAGTACTTTTTATTTTTAGTTCGTTTGGATGTCTGCTTTTAAAAAAAGTAGAAGTCACAAAAAAAGTCAAAAATTTACTTTTTTCTAAAGCTAAAAATTTTAACTTCTAAAAAAAGCAGAAGTCAAAAGTCAAATATTTTTTTCAAAATCTAAATATTTTTATAAAAATATAAATAACTTTAACTTTTGTAAAAAGAACTTCTAAAATAAGGAAGAGATAAAAGTTATTTTTTTAAAAAGTGCAAATAAACGGGCTCTATGTTTGAGCCTGCAGAGAGGATTGTTGACTGGTAGGGATATGCTTATGCTGGGCTTTTTTATCCTTCTATTGCGAATTTGATAAGTATTTACAAACGCGCATTTGACAAATGTGCGTTCAAATTGTGCATCACCCAATGCGTAACTTGTAGAAAGGTCTATCATGCGTTGCACATTATAAGACGCGCATCATCCTCGTACTTGTTTAAGTTGTTCATGTCCTACATATGCATCTTGTTAAGCTTGACACATGACAAGCTTTTGCACAAGTGGCGCATTACTTCCACGAGCGATTTGAATATGCACTGTAAAAATGTATGTCTTGTAACAATAGATTGATAAATAATTTAAAAAATAAAAATAAACCGGAAAAATAGTTTCCAAATTCGCATTAAAAGTACAAAAAGCCTCTTATGCTGCCGTTCAAAGTTGGTCGGCAGGAGCAGTCTTCGCCCTCAAGATTTTTTCTGGTACGTACGTGTCTTATATGTAGTTTTTGTCCCATAATGGTACAGCTTTTTGACGCGCTTTTTTTTTATTGTCTTCTGATTCTAATGCGCATTGACATGGTGACATTTTGTTTGTTCATACTTCTCATTTCATCACATGATTCTTTTGTTTGGATTTTTGTATTTAAGCCCATTTGGATGGATCTGTAAAAAAAAAGGATTTTTTTATATTTTATTTATTTTAAAAGTATTTTTTACAAAAATTAAAGATATTTATTTTTTTTTTGAAAAAAATGAAAAAATATATTTGACTTTTGATTTTTATTTTTTAAACTAAAAAAAAAGCTTTTGAATTTTTTTGTGACTTTTTTTTTTTTTAAAAGTAGACATTCAAACGAATTTTACAATAAAAATGCTTTTTTTTTTCTGAAAAAAGCAACATTTGACTAAAAAAAAAGCTTATCCAAACCCAGTAACAATTTTTCTTGCAAAGTTGTAAACTAAACATTAACACAAACATCCCCAATATGAATTAAAATCCTCAAAATGTTGGCCTGTTGGATGTATTTTACAGCGTAGTTGATATTATTAACCAAAAAAAATTGACAACTTCAGTTTTTTGGGAAATACAAGTGCATACGGATATGAGATTAGTTATTTACTTGATTATTGGGTGGCTACCGGTACAAAAAATTAAAAATTAGATAGATAAACCCATGATAGCCCATGAGTAAACTGCATTGAGACTATAGAACGAAACACAGAAAGATTGTGCCCTCCAATTTTTATCATACTAATAATCAAAGCCATGAACCACTTGCTGCAAATATCCTTTCCATTGGTATATATTGGCTAATCCATCTTCATTTTCTCAAGAATTATCAGAATCCGTAGCGCATTTTCGCAGACACTGTTGAGACTCAAGACAAGACAAGATTTATTTATTTATTTTATACGCACCGATATGACATATTCTTATTATCAGACAGAGACAGCCTGAGCCTGAGAATATTCCCTGGTTGGATGCTTTAGGCGGCATTTTAAAATTTTTATTTCTCTAAGATCCCACTTCTGTGTGGTACTTTTACTCGAGTTGTTACTCAAGTGCACACGCGCCTCTACCCCAACCGTCGTCGAACATCAAAATCTTGAAGGGTGAAGGTTGCGGCTGAGTATGCAATAATGCAATTAATTATTAGTTATATGAAAACAACGCCTCTTCAACCAATTGTTTGTAATCTTAGTGCTGACACACTCTATCTACGAAAAATGGGAGGTAAAATCAATCAATATTTCACATTAAGTTCGAAACCATACAATTATCATTTATATTCCTAAATCATTACTATAGTCTATATACACCATATAATTGCATCAGCTGATAGCTATCTAAATTCTTAACCATTATACATCACTTTGCGTCACGCTTACATAAAAAACCCTAAACAATCCGCAAAATGCAAGAAAGAAAGAAAGAACACTAGGCTATGCGATGTGATTTGGAAGTGGCCTGCGCCGGAGATTTTACGGATCGGAGAGGGATTTGAAGTCGGAGGCTAGTCGAGAAGCGATGGCGGAGTGATACATGGTATCGTGAAAGGACTCGGTCCCGACGGTCATCATCCGGAGCTGCCTCGCCTTCTCCTCCGTGAAGCCACCGGCGAAGAGCGGTCTCGACGGCTTCGACTCCGTGGTCGCCGGATCGGGTTTGGAGTTGTCCCGCTGTTGACTCGGTGCTTTGTTGTTGGAGTCAATGTAGTCGGGTTCGGAGGACCAACCGAAGAGTGGGGTCCACCAGTTGGAGGAGGAACTTCTACGGCGATCGGGATCGGGCCTGCGGTGGGGGGAGGTGGCGGACGCTTGGATTCCGATGGCGCGGATGGGTATCAAAGTTGCGGCCATTTTGGGAATTTTATCTTTTTCTTCTGTTTGGGAACGGTTTGATTAACGGTTAAGTTTGTAGGTGCCCCAATACCACTTTATAGCGAGATTCAAGGGGAAAAGGATAAGCACGGACACGTGGCATGATCAGATTGAAAAAGATTTAACGAGGAGGAAATTTTTATTTTATTTTTGATGAAATTTTTTCTAAATATAAAAAAAAAATATGGAATTGAATACATAAAGATATTTCCGGGACGGCAGGGTTCTCTCTTTGCACGCTTTTTTAATGACTTTTTTTTTTTTTTAAACGAAAATGAACTTGCGTGACACTGACACTGCCCTGATGTGAAATGCATTCGATTGGGCTATTTATTGTTTTAAAAAAAAAAACAAAAAACAGAGACCGCGAGGACAATAGGACATGAACCTCACTGTCATTGCCAATTGCCATGCGCATTCTTGAGTTTGTCCTTTTTATCAAGGGAGGATGGCAAATTTGAACAGTTTCATTAACGACGATGGATACTCGTCCAGCAACTTGGAACGTTATTTGTTGACAATCTTTGATTTGATTACTTGGCGAGTACAATTCCAGGCCGCGTAAGAATTATTCCTTGATTCTAAAACCCAAACATAACCAAGGGCAGTCTGAGGAGGCTGATTTCCAATTTTATTCTAAGTGCCTCTTGCGACCTTATTTTTAGAAACGACAATCCTCCTCCCCCAAACTATTTGTCTTTGGTTGAGAGTTGAGACACTGCCAATATTGTCGTCAACACATAACCATTCTATACTATTCCTGTCTTGTGACTACTGATCTTATTCAATAGCATGTGTCTCTCATCAAACACTACCTCTAAAAGCAACCTTGCTACGAGACTCCTGCAATGCTGGGCTTGGTTCCAATTCAATTTCGAACTCCATTTCCATTTGTATAATAATTGTGCTCGACGGGTTATTATTATTGGTAGTATAGCACTAGTTTTTTTTAAACTTTAAAGGACTATGGAATTTTTATTTTTATTTTTAAAAATTATGAATTATATTCTGATAATATAAGTCGTATTAGTATTATTGGGAACAAAAAATATTAAATCAAATTTCTCATCAAATCTTGCCCTTCAAGCTTTGAGATGATTAGCCCATTTATCTCTGGGACTTCTTTTAAATTCAACCCAACTTAAGGCCCCATTTGAATGACAATCTCCTAATTGGATTAGACGATCCATTTAGATCAAAACCCTTCTTTCGACCCAATGGTTTATGTTGATGGCAGTAGAAGTGAATGACACAAAATTTACCTGTAATATTAGGAGTTCAAATCTTGAACTCCCCACCTTAGAAAGGATATGACCTAACAATTACCTTTGATTAAAAAAATTAATCTCACAACTATGCTTGTGTGGATATTAGTAAAAGAAAAAAACAAAAACCTTTTAATCTGGATTATATTTCTCACTCTTAGTTGTAAAAAGTAATAAGTAATTCATCAAGTAGAACAAGAGGTATTACATTCAATCTGCTAAAGGGAAACCACAAGGTAAAGTACCATCATGATACTGTTTACTAATTACTTAAGGTGTGTTTATATTAACTGAGAAAATCATTTAATAATCAATTATGATAAAATCAGTTTCATATTTGAATGTATTAATCGAAAAGTAATTTTAAGATAATATATTTTTCTTGGATTATATTAAAAAATTATAGTATTTTATCAAAACGGATGTGAAATAAGAGCAATATTTGTGTGTTTCCGGTGCAAAAAAAATTTGGTGGAGACTGAGGTGAGAGAAAGAGATAAAGGGTTGAGAATAGAGGAGAGGGGAGGGAGAAAAAAAAATTGGTTTAGGTGTCAATTTCTTAGTGGAAGGATCATGGTGATCTGGACCATATCAAAAAGTTTCGTGAAATAATTATTTTGTAACATATAACCTATTATTTAAGGAAAAAGTATTTGTCTTTTTAAATGACATAAAATTATATATTTTTCTTATTTAAAATGACACAATTCCATGTCCTTTTTTTTTATAGCCACAAACTCTATGTCTTTTAAAAAGATAAACACCGAACACATTATTTAATGGGGATGATTTGGTAAAAGTTCAAAGGCACTGAATGATAAAAAAAAATGACTATAGACAAAATGATTAATACAAAATTTTCTTTTATCGGAAATGAAATAATTAATGGTTATAAATATTAAAAATTTAAATGTGAGTAATAAAGTTCAGATTAGATAAAAATATAATAAGTGAGGGCCATATAAATAAGAGGATGCATATATTCAATGTCTTAAATTTTTTTATTTAGATTAAGGTCCTTCACTAATGATAGAGAGTATGTATTTTGACCCGTATTATAGTAAGTCTCCCAACAATAATTAGGCTCATTTATACCAAAACATATTACAATTTACCAAAACCAGCTTTTATAAATTAAAAATAAATCTTTTATTGAAAAAATTAAGTACTACCGAACGCCGGATTGATATAAGCAGTTTTATAAAGGCCCTTTCGAAATGGGTTTTGGTTCGACTAACCCACTGAATTGTATTTTTCACGTGGTGTTTCCATCGACATTTTTTGACCACCACCCACATGCCAAACATTAGAACACATTTCCTTCTTACTGTCTTGTCTATTTTTTTGGTTTGCCATCTGCAGTACATTCAACCAAATAAAGTAAATTATTCGCCTAACTCAAGTGAATTTTGGTTTCAAGTACCAAATTCAACCAAATAAACTAAAAAGATGGACTAGATTACAAGAATATGATGCATTATATCAAATTTTCATTCAATTTAAAATGTATTATATTATTAATTCATTAAAATTTTGATATAAATACTTTTGTACTCGCATTTAATATATATCATATATATACAACAATCATAAAGATTTAAGATCAGGTAAATTCTACCCAACGAGTGTAGTTCAGTTGATGACACAGATTGAGTAGGTGAGGAAAAAATCTGGATTTGATTCCTACCAAATATAAAGACGAAGAGATTTAACTGTGACTAAGTCATGTCTTGAAATTAGTCTCATAGTCGGCTCAAAGAATTAAAACTTATAAGAATACCCGTAGGATCTAATTATGGTTGGTATAAAAAAGATTATCTGAGCAAATTTCTATGGGTTTCTCTTTTCCTAGTTTTGGCTATATGCTCCTGAAATAAAACTTTCTTGCTCTACCGTAACAATAAAAATGTAATCGGAGTGAAAAGATAATGATAAATCACTTGAATTTGGCTTTTTTCAAAGTGAATGATACACTTTAAAAAATAAAGTGTGGATTTACAACAATTGATCAGAAAATCAAGGGAGTATATTTTAACAATTTTATTATTTGTTTTACATGTAGAAATATTTTATCACAATTTCAATCATTATTGATATTTTTAATAAATAGTTATAATATGCACTTTATCCTCTAAAGTCTACTCTAAACTACGCTCTAAAAGAACACCTCTTATTTTTTATTTTTTATTTTTATTTTTGAATACAAAGGTGGCATGGCATGAGATTCGAACCTAAACCTTTTCATCTCTTATTTTTGATATGTCAAATTTGAATCTCATAATTAACGCCACATGCAATCAATTCAACATTACGGAATAAGAAGCTTTTCTTTCTTCGGAAGCAATGTAAAGTCTCCATTTCCTTCCTCGTGGCCCCCAATGCAATGTATCACGGGGGATTGTATTCCATCCTTAATCTTTTTTTTCCTTGGCGCGCACCAGAACACAAATTTTATGGAAAGGAATAGTTAAGTACAAATAATTTTGTTTGACCCTTAAGGATAGATATGCTAAAACTCAGTGAACATGTTATGTTTGGATCTCATCCCATGCATGCTAAGCAGGTGAGGAACAACTGGGTCAATGGAGTTTGACAATTAGGCATGTCTTTTTTGTAACATAAGGCACATTATATTTGTTATTTGGCCTTGCCTTTTATGATCAATCGACAAACCTATAACAATCCCTTCACATCATTTTGTTGTTTGAGTCGGCATTCATTTGGCATGTAGGTTTTACCTAATGGTCGCACTTGATTGTCATAGCTAATTTCCTTATTAAGCTTTTCTCTTTCTCCACCTAAATTACGCCCCATGATTGCCTGAAAGTGCCTAGTCCAGTTCACATGGACCTCTTATGTTAAAGTTCTCATTTATGCATTTCACATGCTCTTGTTAATTAGTTACAGCAACACTCTTAATTTGTAAGAATATGTTTGTCTAAATGATTCCTTCAATTATGTTAATGTTTTTCAAAGTTATATTTATAAACTTTTTGTTTATGTATCATATTATGTATTAGAGGTAGTATATTCCAGCATACAATATACTACCCCTAGTTAGGAGTATAAATGTGCTAGGCCGACCTACAGGGAGTTTACGGCCTAACTTATATCAGGTCAGGCTCGGCCTATTAAACATAGTTAAATAGAGCAGACCTAGACTTGTAAAAAAGCCTATTTAAAAAATAGGCTACAAGTTTTCTTTTACATGTCGGGCCTATGAGCCTATAGGTTAGCTCATATTATATTATTTATTTTAAATAAAATAAATAAAATTATTATTATAATAATTCTAAATCATAAAGTAATATTATTTTAATAATTTTTTTAATTATTGAATATTTAATATTTTTAAACAGGCTAACAGACTTAGGCTAACACTTTTTTTTTAAATATAGGTCAGACCAGACTTATAATTTGAACCTATATAAAGCTAACATGCCAGATTAAACCTAAAATATTTTACACAGGCCTAGGCTATTTAAGGCAAAGTCTAGTCTAGTCTAATCTAGCCTATTTACACTCGTACCCTAGTACATATTATAGTTTGTAAAAAAAATTTGTAAATATAACCCTCCCTTATAATAATACTACCTACACAAGCTTAGATTAGTGCCTATGCGTGGTTAGTTTTATTTTTTGGCTTAAATTGTGGTTTTCTCTGCTTTATTCTGCAGCATGGACGGAAAGGTTCTAGCTAGGCATTGTATTAAT